CCTGATGCTGCCAATTGGTCCAGTGATGAGAATCTTTGTCTTCTTGACATTGAGCCTCAATCCATACTGAAGGCTGCAGTCCTTGACACTCTGCAGCAAGCATTTCAGGTTCTCCTCGGCTTAATTACAGGGTCACACAATTTGATGGGTAAAAGAAAGGAGAAAGATCTGGTGTGAAAAAGAATGTAAACGAACTTTATGAAGTATGTATGTAAACCAGTATAAGACAATGATTAAAAAAATATTAGAAATCGGGGCAGGGGGAAGTCATTATGGTATACATTGACGTTGTTTGGTGAAAATATTTCCCCCCCTAACAACAGATTCTACTGAGTGAAAACAGATTTATTTATTAGATTTTAAGAACATAGTTGTCTTAGTTATTGGACAATTTAATCCTAAATAATGGCATCTGGCATCTAATTATAGCATCTAATAATTAGTCACCATCAAGTTGATTCTAACTAATGGAGATCCCAAATGTGTCTGTGCTGCACTCCAGAGGGTTTTCAGTGGCTGAAGTTTTGGAAGTAGATCGCTATATTTTCCTTCCATAGAGTCTTTGCATAGACTAAGGCCCTCAGCCTTTCTATTAGCAACCTAATGTGTGCACACGCACCATTTGCACCAACTAAGAACTCTTAAGTCTGTTTATGGGGACGAAAACCTATTTATCTTTAGTTAATGCATACTTTGTTTTGTTTTGTTTTAGAATGTTTGGAGTCTTGCTGGTTTTTGCCGACATGACTATAGTCCTTGTAGACTTGTTTTTCACTGACAGCTCAGACAGAGTTCCTTTGGAATATCGGACAATTTCTTTAGCTATTGCTTCATTTTTCCTAATAGATGTTCTTCTTCGGGTCTACGTAGAAGGGTAAGTTTGATCAGCTTTTTTGTATGATGTTATTTTGTATTGCTGTAAGAAGCGTCCCCAACAGATCCCCAGATCCACCCAATCAAATATATTCTCCTCTTCATCAAAATGATTTTTCTTCAACAGCATGATTCATAGACAAACAATAATCCAAACTCCATTTTTCCCCATAGATGTAACTTTACTCTATCATTATTGCAGCTGTCATATCAGTCTTCAAAAGTGAACCCTAGATGATTCCATAGGTTAAGGGCTTTCACAATGGGACAAAGTAGCTGGTGCCTCTACAAGCACTTTAATAATTAGGGACATACATGTGAAATAGAAATGTTGCTAATTTCATTAAGAGAAATTCCCAACTAAGAGCGATAGTGTATTAGATATGAGATAATACAGTACTGATAACTCCCCCTCTCAGTTAAATAGCACGTTTGTTAAGGTGGGGAGACTGTGGCATGTTCGTTCTGTCAGTGAGGCTTGATGGGAAGGCAGCAGGTGATTTTCTCTGCTTGCTGAGCTTTCGAGGACATTGGCACAGATAAGTCTTGAGACTGGACAGCCACGAGAGGGAGGAGCAAGTTCTCTATTTTCACTTCATCTTATAAGACAACTTGTCTCCTCTCTGTCTGAACCTCTGTCCTCAGGCCTTTAAGTAAAGGACAATTGTCCACTCCCAGGTTACTCAATCCGGTACAGCCCTCACTGGGGTATCATTGTTTTTTCTCAAGGAGAAAATCCTGGGGGAAAAGTTGTGGCGGATGGGGGATAAGCTTGGCTTATTGTTGTTGTTATGTGCCGTTGAGTCGCCTGCAACTCCTAGCGACCCTGTGTACAACAGCCCTAAACTCTGCCCTATTCTGTGCTGATCTCACCATCTCCGACACACCTGCTTCCATTATTACCACAGTCACTGAATCAATCCATCTCATCGAGGGTCTTCCTCACCTGCACTGTCCTTCTACCCTCCCAAGCATGACGTCGCTCTCCAAGGGATGGTCCCTCCTTGCAACATGTCCAAAGTATGTCAGATGAAGCTTCAGAATCCTTGCCTCTAAGGAGCAGGCCGGCTTCACCCTCTCCAGGACAAACCTGTTCATTTTCCTAGCAATCCATGGTATATTCAATACTCTTCTCCAACACCACAGCTCAAAGGCATCCATTCTCCTTCTATCATCCCTAGTCATTGTCTAGCTCTCCAATGCATAGCAAGTGATTGAAAAAACCGTGGCATGTATCAGGCACACTTTAGTTTCCAGACTTGCATCCTTGCACTTCAGTACTTTAGAGAGGTCTCTAACCACAGACTTTCCCATCTCAATACGTCTTTTAATTTCCTGGCTGCTGGTGCCAAGAGGGTTGACTGTGGATCCAAGCAAACCAAAACTGTGAACACTCTCAATCTCTTCACCATCCATCATGACGCTGCCAATCGGCCCAGTGGTGAGAATCTTTGTTTTCTTGATACTGAGTCTCAATCCTTACTGAAGATTTTAGTCCCTGACCTTCCACAGCAAGTGCTTCAGGTCCTCTTCAGTTTCAGCAAGCAGGGTTGTGTCATCTGCATAACACAGATTGTTGATTCTTCCTCCAATCCTGATGCCACATTTCTCCTCATAGAGCCCAGCCTTCCGGATAATCTGTTCTGCATACAGGTTGAAAAGGTATGGAGACAGGACACATCCCTGGTGGACACCCTTCCCAATTTTGAACCATACGGTGTTTCCTTGCTCTGTTTTGACAACTGCCTCCTGGTCCAAGTATAGGTTTCGCATTAGCACAATCAAGTGTTTTGGGATTCCCATTCTTCTCAGAGTGAGCCACAGTTTGTTATGATCCACACAGTTAAATGCCTTTGCATAATCAATGAAGCAAAGATAGACATTCTTCTGGTACTCCTTGCTTTCAGCCAAGATCCATCTAACATTAGCTACAATATCCCTGGTACCACGGCCCCGTCTAAATCCAGCCTGCACTTCTGATAGTTCTCTGTTAATGTGCTGTTCCAATCATTTTTGGATAATCTTCAGCAAAATCTTGCTTGCATGTGATTTTAATGATATTGTTCGATAATTTCCACACTCTATGGGATTACCTTTCTTTGGAATGGGAACAAATACAGATCTCTTCCAATCAGTTGGCCAAGTAGTTGTTCTCCAGATTTCTTGGCACAAGTTGGCGAGCATGTCTAGGGCAGCATCTGTTAATGGAAATTAGCTTGGCTTGGCTTGTTGTTGTTGTTAAGTGCCATCGAGTTGCAGGCGACTCAGCAACCCTATGAAGGAGAGTCCTCGACGCTTAGGTGCCTTTCATCCTCTCTCCAGGTTCATAGGGTTTCTGGAGGCAAGCTGTTAGGGAAGTGGATGCCACTCCTCCTTCCTAGCTTGGCTTAGGTATTAAAAAAAAATATTCCAGGGGAGCTCTGGTGGCCTAGTGGCAAGAAGCTGCACTGCAATCCCAGAGGAACACGGTTCGAATCCACCAGATGCTCTGCCGGAAAAGGAGGTGCAATATCCTCCTGTACCAGTCAGATCTGATTTGACGGTACACGCACACAAAATAATTTAAAAAAATAAAATAAAAAAATATTCCAACCTATCATTAGTCTAGTCTGGACCAGACAGTGAGTTCACAGACCAAAATATCTCCCCCCCTTCTTAAAAATTCCTCTTTTGTACACTTCTAATAGCCCTAGTTGTTCTGTTGTTGTTGTTAAGTGCCATCAAGTTGACTACTACTCACAGCATCCCTGTGAACGGTAGACCTGAACCCTGCCTCATCCTGTGCCATGCTGACCATCTCTGCCACACTTGAGCCCACTGTTAACAGTCACTGTGTCAATCCATCTCATTGAGGGTTTCCCCCTCTTTTGCAGACCCTCCACTTTTCCAAGCATTATATCCTTTTCCAAGGACAGACTCCTCCTAGCAAAATGCCCAAAGTAAGAGAGATGAAGTTTCGCTACCCTTCCCCCCAGGCAGCACCAGATTACAAGCTGGTCTAAGCTGTGCCAGGTTCAGCTCCCACTGCCCAACAGTCCTGTTCAATCTCCCACCTTTCTTCTCACATCTATTTAAAGGCAGTGTTTGCCTTTTGTTTAATGGTTTGACAATATCACTTCTTTACTATACTTGATTTTCCATATTGATAGCTTTGTCATAGATAAACGTTTCTTCATTTTGATAATCAAGAAAATAAAACTTGCACATAGGTCTTTCAAAGGCCTGGTATTTCAGAAGTGGACAGGTAAACCTTCCTCATCTGTCTTAATTCTGATGCTCAACTTTCGAACAATATCTGACAGATAAGCATTTTACAGAAAGAAGCAGATGAAAGACAGTTCTCCATTATAGACGTAACCAATGCAGGCCAAGTTTAGAAGAGGTGTGGCACAAGAGACATCATCGTTAATGTCAGATGTATCTTGGCTGAAAGCACAGAGTACCACAGGAATGTCTATCTGCTTTTCATTGGCTATGCAAAGGCATTTGACTATGTGGTTCACCGCAAATTATGGCTAACCTTGATTGTGCTCCTGTGAAACCTATACTTAAACCAGGAAGCAGCCCTCAAAACAGAGTAAGGAAACACTGCTTGGTTCAAAAATCAGCAAAGGACTGTGTCAAGGATGCACCCTTTCTCCATACATTTTCAATCTTTATGTGGAACAGATCGTTTGGGACACTGGACTGTATGAGGAGGAATGTGGCTTCAGGATTGGAGGAAGACTCATCAACAACTTGCGTTATTGCAGGTGACACAATCTTGTGCACAGAAACTGAAAAGGACCTGAAACATATGCTGCAGTCAAAGTCTTCAATATGGTTTGAAGCTCAACATCAAGAAGACAAAGATTCTCACCACTGGGCCAATTGGCATCACCATGATAGATGAAGAAGAGATTGAGGTTGTTGGTAATTTCCACTTGCTTGACTCCACAATTAATACTTTTGCCATCAGGAGTCAGGAAATCGAAAGATTAATTGAATTGGCAAAATCTGCTGTCAGGGACATCTCCAAAGTGTGAAAGAGCAATGATTTCAGTCTGGAGACTAAGGTGCCAGATCCAGGCCATGGTCTCCTTAATTACTTGCTATATATCAGAGAATTGGACAGTAACTAGGGATGAGAGAAGAATTGATATCTTTGAGTTGAGATGTCTTTGAGTTGGAGAAGAGTATTGACCATACCATGGAATGACTGCCAAGAGAACAAACAGGTCTGCCCTGAAGAGGGTGAAATCAGGATGTTCCTTGGAGGCAGGGATTTTGAAACTCTGTCTCACATATTTTGGGCATGTTTCCAGGAGACACTGGTCCTTGGAAAAGGACATCATACTTGGAAGGGTGGAGGGACAGCGCAGGAGGGGAAGACCTCAGGTGAGATGGATTGACACAGTAACTAGGGTAACAGGGACAGGTGTGCCAGAGATAGTGAGAATGGCTTAGGACAGGGCAGGATTCAGAGCTATTGTGCATAGGATTACAGGTGACTGGATGACACATAGCAACAACAATTTTTAAAATTGTTGTAAGAATACAAATAACAATATATGCCAATAACAAGTGCCTATATAACTCAGTGATGCTGATTACAGTCTTGATATTGTATAGCTCTTGTCACCATGCTTTTCTGACTTACTCTGCCACCATTAACATAAACTCATTCACTCACTGCCAGGAAGTTGATTCTGACTCCAGTGGGTTTCTGAGGCTGTGAATCTTGACAGGATGAAACTGTCCATCTTTCTCCCATGGAACCATGGGTAAATTTCAACAACCTGAAGATGAATCACATAGTTTGTGCCATTAAAATACTCTTATCCCTCTTTTTTTTTTTGCAATGATCTAATTATTTGCTTTGTTTTATATTATAGGAGACAACAGTATTTTTCTGACATGCTTAACTTCTTAGATGCTATCGTTATTGGCATAACCTTGCTAGTTAATATAGCTTATACTTTTTATGACTTTCAAACACTTAATAATCTTCCCAGGTAAGTAGCATATGACTTATCTCTCTAAATTTTTCCTTAATGTTTTCCTTTTGCTTTTTAGTGTGTCTCTTTTATTCTCTGTACTCTTACTGTGAGTGTTCTAATACTGTACCTCTAAACTCTTTGAAGGTGAAATACACAGATAAATTTCTGCATACTTTAAGCTAAAAGTTATTGTTATTTAAGAACCAGTAAAGGGTGGGCAAAATAAGTCCTTTTAGTTGAATAGAAAAGATGAGGTACCCAAAAAGCTGGGGACTTTGCCTCTTGTACTAATTTTCACTTATTTATATTTTAAAATCACCACTAAATTATCTTTGTGCTTTAACATATAACCAAGATATCATTCACAAAATTTAAATCACTAAAATTGTCATCATGTAAACAAAAATGAAAAAGAGAATGAGGATGCGAGCTGAGAGTATTGCAGACATGCAATTTTGCCATTTAATTCATTGCAACTGTTAGGAATCAGAGAACTAAAATGGGTATGAAGAACTGATGGTTCTTTCCCTCCTCTTTTTTGCTGGCGTTGGGAGAAAGAGAAGCACAAATGTGCTTTGGGATGTGGATGTAATTGGCTCTTGGGCTCACTCATTAGTTATATGTTGTTATTGTTGTTATGTGCTGAGTCAGAACTGACCTATAACTGTCCCTCCCAGCAGGTTTTCAGAGGCTATAAATCACATGAGAGGAAGTTACTTTTATTTCTCCCATGGCGGATTCGAACTGCCTGCCTTTGGGTTGGCAATGAAGCCTCTCACAACTTGACCACTAGAGCTCCGTGCTTATTTCTGCACCCCATCCTCCTTGGCCTTCAATTTTGGACCGCAATTAAATGTGTCCTCAAGTAGTAGACTTCCGGTTTCATTTACAGATAACCCAAGGCAGTGTGTTCTTCTCACTTGGTCACCTTGGTGTCAACTCCGCACTTGCTAGAAATCAGGCTCTTCCAAGTTCTATTGAATTAAAACCTGGGAGTGGTCCTCAGAAATCTGATTTCATGGCTTTTCCAGATGATTTTTGTTTATGCATGTTAACATCAGAGAAGCCCTCTAATGTAAACTGTGCGTTCTCTGTCCTGGTGGTTCTGGTGGTAGGAGAAACCCCACACGCCATGCTTGGGGAGCATTTCAGCCCACTACCTTTCTGATGTGGCTGCAGTGTGGTGTACTTGTCTTAATCATGGGAGTAATAACGGGGATCAGTAGCCCTCAATTTGTTTGGATGAGGAAAACACTGAGAAATACTGCTTTTAAATTCAAGAGGGTAAATCTACAAATTCTAAGATTCTGATTCTCTAGACCAGTATATCTTAACCTTGACACTTTCCTGTTGACATTTTGGGTTGGGATATTCTGGGCTGTCTTATTCAGTGTAGGATGGTGAGCTGTATCTCTGACCTCTACTTATGATCCCATTACCCCAGAGTGACCTCAGAAATGTCTCCAGGCATCACCACATGTCTGCACAGTAGCGATTTAGAGAGGTGGATGGGCAGATAGGAGAGGTCATGGCCTTGAATGACAGCTATCACTCTGGACTTAGGCAATACTGACAACATTCTGTTTCTGAAGCCAAACTTTTTATTGATTTATTTTTATTAATTTTATTAAATAGTAAAATAATTTTTTTATTTGTTAGATTGGCAGTTTTATTTCGATCTCTACGACTACTCATCCTAGTAAGAGTTTTTCATCTGGCTTATCAAAAAAGGCATCTTGAAAGAGTGACCAGAAGGATGGTATGTGCGCAAAACATGCTTATAACTTGTAAGAAAAATGTTGAGAAATACTTGTAAGGGTGTTGGTATTTGACAAATCAATGATTGTTTTAAACCCGCAGGTTTCAGGAAACAAAAGGCGGTACAAGAAGGATGGATTTGACCTGGATCTCACTTACGTTACTGGTTTGTGCAACTTCACTGTTGATTTACTCGTATTAGCTTCACGTGTCTCTTGTGTATGATGAAGCTTCATCTCTCATAATTTGGGCATGCTGCTAGGAGAAGCAATTCCTTGTAAAGGGACATCATGCTCAGACAGGTAGAGGATCAGCGAAAAAGAGGAGACCCCCGACAAGACGATTGACACAGTGATTGCAGTAATGGGCTCAAGTTATGTCAGAGTGAATCGTGCAGGTGGTGCAGGTAGGACAGGGTTCAGATCTGTTGTAGGGTTGCTTTGAGTCATACTCAGTGGCACAACGATTATGCTTGCATTTCTTAGGTAAGGTATATTGTTTGAAAGGATTCTTCACTCCATGAAGCCATTGCATTATTTTTAAGGTTTTTTTTCTTTTTCTTTTATTCTTGCAAGTATTTTATTCATGAGATTCAGATCTCACTGCTGTCAAATCAGAACTGGCTCATACATACCCTCCAGCAGGCTTTCGGAAGGTTGTAGATTGATTGCAAGGGAGGAGATTGTTCCTCTTTCTCCCAGGAAACCTCTGGTGAGTTCGAACTGGCAGAGAAGGTAGGCAGTGCAACTCTGTAGAGACTAGGTCACCAGAACTCACGCTCAACGCCATCAGGTTGGAACCAAGTTACATCTAACACACACCTGTCACATGTGACTGGAGTTTCATTACATTGACCGTTATGTTAGATATTTTCACATGTTATCTCTGTTTTCCTAAAGGTTAGTCAGTTATTCTCTATCATCTTAATCTTCAGAACAGTTTTTTTAATATTTCTGTAAAAAAGGAATCTGACTATGTGAACATTGAATTTTTTTCTAATTATTTCACAACTGCAAGAACATTCATAATAGTGATTGTTTTGGTTTCCAGACCGCATTATTGCTATGTCATTTCCATCTTCTGGAAAACAGTCTTTCTACAGGAATCCCATTCAGGTAAGGAAAAAAATAATGTGTTGTATTTCTTAGTGAACATAAACTGTGGAGTCATAACTTTAGTATTGAACAGGGAGATTGCAATAGTCTTTTAAAAATTTTACTCTTTCAGGAGAATAAAAAAAAATAAAATGGATTGAAAGAAATTGTTGTTAGGTGCTGTTGAGTCAGGTGTGACTCCTAGCAACCCTGAGAACAACAGATCTGACGCCTGTCCTTTCCTGTGCCGTCCTCGTCGTCTCTGACACACGTGGACCCATTGCTGCAGTCACCACGTTGCTCCATCTCATTGTCTGCCTCTCTTCCACTGACCCTCGACCTTTCCAAGTACGAGTTCCCTTTCCAAAGATCAGCCTCTCCTCACAACATGCCTAAAGTGTGTGAGACGGAGCTTTGCCGTCCTTGCCTCCAAGGAGCACTCTGGCTGCACCTCTTCTAAGATACATCTCTTAGATCACCTTTCTTCGGGATGGTGAGAATTATGAGTCTCTCCTAGTCTGTTGGCCAGGTAGTTGTCTTTCACGTTTCCTGGCAAGCACTGGTGGACACCTTCAGGGCTGCATCTGTTATCTGAAATGTGTCAATTGGTAACCCATCGATTTCTGAAGCCCTGTTTTATGCCATTGCCTTGCGTGCAGTTTGAACGTCTTCCTTCATCACCATTGGCTCTTGATCACATGTTACTTCCTGAAATACTTATGTGTTTGCCAAGTCTTTTTGGTATAGTAACTCTACTTTCCTGTAATTAGATTCCATAAGCACAGCCCTTACCAGAGTTCAGCAAGTACAAATAAACAATCAGGAAGAAGACATGTAAGTTCAAGATGTGTGATAAATTCTCAGATGGAAAAACCAAAAGCAAGCGTATTATTCCTGCAAGAACAGAATTAAAATCAAAGAAGGCTAAATGAAACAGACAAGAAAACTAGAATCTCTCACTGTCACTGACGTCTGGAGAGCTTCTTAGCAAAGAGACAGAGCTCCAGGGCAGAGGTCCTGGCAGTGCCACCCAAGAAATGTGTGGTGCAGGGTGCCTACACAGCTCTGCTGGCTGTGGAAGTCCCAGCCTTGGCTCTCGGGAGTTGCTATGCTGAGGTACCTGAGATCCCCACTGCTGAGACCAAAAAATGACATAGGGTAGCCTCACAGAGGCAACTTAAGGAAAAGCAAAGGAAGTTGATGGATGGATCAAGACAATTTGGATGTGGGAAATGTCCATTGCCACAGAGAAAACAGCTGCTCCACTGTGTTTATCGTTTCTATTATAAGTGCATACATATTTGCCATGTCTAGATATCTGAAAGACGTACCTATTCAGTATTAAATCTAAAGTTGCACCATCAGTTGTTGCTGTGTGCTGTTGAGTCGGAACCAAATCATAGCAGAATGTCCAGCAAGTTTTCAGAGGCAGTAAATCGCACAAGAGGAGATTGCCCAACTTCTCCCGTGGAGCCCCTAATACAGCTTCTTACCACTAGGCCACCAGCGCGCCCTTGAACCAGATAGTTGTTGTTGTGTGCTGTGGAGCCATTTGTGACTCATAGTGACCCTATGTACAACAGCCCTAAACTCTGCTCTGTCCTGTGCCAATCGCACTGTCTCTGACACACCCATCCCAATTACCCCAATCACTGAATCAATCCACCTCATAGAGGGTCTTCTCCTCTTACGCCGTCCCTCCACCCTCCCAAGCATGATGTCCCTCTCCAAGGACCTATCTCTCCTTACAACATGTCCAAAGTATGTCA